ACCGCTGGCTCCCCGGCGCCTAATGCCAGCCTTTCGACTTACCCTGCGTCCCAGGCCTGGACGTTCTTCGCCTATTTTAGGTCTTTTCGCAAACTTTCGCCTTGCATTAGCAGAAGGAATTAACGTACTTACATTAGAAAATTGCAATGTGTAAAGCTGCCTTTCTTCAAAGCGCCGCCTTAAAATGTTACTGTCATTTCTGCGAGATTTCCATTGCTCTTACTTATTACACTTCTGATAGTGTTTTTATTCATATTTGTATCAACGTCTTCTGTGGCTTGAGATTTTTCGAATAAATGTACCTGTTTGATTACAATTACTTGAGTTTTATTTATTTTTGCTTCCTGCTGGCATTTCCCATTCTTCCCTTTGTCCTTATTTCTTTCTCTTCAACGTCATATCTATCTTATATAAACCGTTATCGAAGGTGATTATTTCTTCAGTTCTCCGGGAGTTCCTTATTCCCATTCTTGTCCGTTTAATTTATTTCTTTTTGCCTTCTGTTTTCATCCTGCCTTGGCCTTCGGCTGACTTTTCTCTTCAACAATGTAGTTTGCTTCTTTTTTAACTCTCGTCCATTAAGTATGTTACTTCTCCCATTTTCTTCTATTCCTTTTACTCTCTCTTCATCCCATTGCCTCTCAGATAATGGAGATGCTCTGTCATCCTCGGCCGCCCCCCCCCGCCCGCACCGCGCGAGGACCCTTCGCCTGACGCAGCGCCGCTGCTGCTCTCCGCGCCTTTACCTCTCACGCCGTCTCCCCCCCCCGCATCCGTCAGCCAGCGCACGCCGCCGGACGTCCCCTTCCAACGAATATGCAGGAGTCGCGATCCCAGGGGACTGTCTAGCGCAGCGGCAGCCCCCGCTGCTCGCCGTCCTCTCGATCCTCGCGCACGCCAACACCCCCGCCCCTCCCCGCCCCGGCACGGGCCCCGCGGGATGCTCTGCGGGAATGTGAGTGACCGCCCGGCGGACCGCTAGCCTCTTCAACACGTACTCGCGCACGCGGCCGCCTAGGCACCTCACTCGCCCGCTGCGCACTCGCCATCTCTCTCACATGCGCGTGCACCACGCACGCACGTGCTCTCGTCATAGATATTTATTCTCTCCTTCAGGCCCGATAAAAAGTGTTAAGAGCCCTGGAATTCATGTAACGCACGCACGTATGAAAGATTTATCGAATTTTTAGGACGAACTTGCAACAACATGGTACCTTACAGCTTTAGATACGTGATGTTATTAATATGATCTTTAGTAGGGTTATTTAGGACATTATTTTTTATTAATGTTTGCAGAAGTGCATTAACCGGTAGTATTTGTTCGTGCAGTGTATAACTGCGTCCGAATGATGTAAGTGCAAAGTTGTGACTTTCATCTAAATCTATGAACTGATAGAGCGCTTATTACTCTTTTAGCGCTTTTCTAAAGAAAACTACAATATTATAAATCTAAAAGTTCAACTGGAAAATATCAGATGTAATATCATATCCACATATTGTGGAAAACTCATTTTTAATTGATTTAACTACGCATTATTTAACTATTCAAAATAATATTTCCCCACTATTTTTATTTATACTTCGATACTATTAATACATACTTCACATCAGAACGTTTTGGAAATGATATTGTTAGCGGATTACTTTTAGTTTTGTATGATTAGCTTTCTGTTATTCATGTTTGAAACGTACCATGTTTTCAGATAAAAATGTACTTTTTAAAATACTGATTGGTTGTATAACGTAGAAATATTTAAAATTAGATCAACCATTGTAAAACGTCTTAACAAGCAGAACAATCAATCGGACGGTGCCAAATGCAAATTCGAGTTTTAGCACTGCAGTGATGCGTTGTCACCCACTCGCATGCAACAGGCTTGCCGTCGAGCTGGAATATGTCGAGATGCCTAAAAAATGAGGCATCGATGACGGTCTACTCCGTATGCAATAATGCTCGTGTCAGCATTAATCATTCCCGTGCGCCGTATCACTCATTCGCGTCGGTCGTATTTGTTCGTGCAATGTATGACCGCTGCCGAAAGAAGTCAAGCTGCATGTAAAATTCACACTGCTGGATTACGTCATCGTCAAACAATGAGCAATTAGGATTCATATGCGAAATTTCTAATTGAACGTGTCACGCCGCCACTGAAGTCCGCGCGGTCGACAGAGAGGCTGCCGCGTGGAGTGACGCCTTGTTACCACATCTGTCGCACAAAAAAGCGTCGGAGCAGACACGCGGAGATGGGCTCGCGGTCGGTAAATAATGTTCTCCGTGATCAATCTGCGGAATAAATCGTCCACGAAAACTGCGTCTTAATCAATTGTTGTGAGAGCGTGATTGAATACGAACGTGTTGATATTTATACCATTTTACTTTATTAATATTGGAAAAAATTAAATCTACGAGAATGTAATGATTGGGTTTTATACATATTCCAATATTGTGATAAATTCTTCCCAACGTAACAAAAATAATCCAAATAATTTCCTTTGGTATATATGGACTTTTACCTACGTTATGAAATTCCAGTATTACAACACATAATATAAGAAAGTTTCCAAAATTTAGAAAGATGTACCCGAAAGTTGAGATCATTTATTTTATTATGAGTTGAATTTTAATAACCTTCAAGTATAATAACATTAAAGCATCGTTAGTCATTCACTGCATCTCATTGATATCTTTGCCTGAAGGAAACTAAAAAAAGATCACGTTGTCATTTAATTAACATCTGTTACAGGGATAAAAGTCGTTTGCTCGTTACAAAACGCAACGAGACAGGAATAGATTAATTACAATGAAGGAACCCTTGTAATAAACCCTTTCCGATAATTGTTTATACCATGCAAATTTTAATTAATTAGCAGCTCGTAGTGGACTGCAATCCTCCTAATAATAAGGTACACGCCAGTCTTCTCCCTTTCGCACTCATTGCCTTAAAGCCCTTTGTTTTTCTGCCTTTGTAGGACGATGGGCGGGGCGTTGGTAGTAGCAGTGGGAAGAGGAGGGACGGGTTGAGACGGCAGCTCGGCCTGGCGGATCTGTCGCCAAGGTGATTAATATCTGCCGCTGCACGAGGCGTGGCGGCGGAAGGCACGAGAGAGGCTCAAGCCCGCAGAGGCACTGCTCTGTGGCGTCGCCGCCGCCGCCGCCGTCGTCTAATGTCTCCGTTACAGTTGACTCCTCTACCTGTGACACAGCCATCTCCATTGCAGCCGCCTTCAACTACTACTATTACTACCATCTCTGCAAAATCCGTACAGCTGCGTTCTACAGTCGTCTCTCCTGTCCTCTTCCTAGTTTTCCGCTTCCATCCCCATCGACTCCGTTTCAGTAAAACGCTCTCCTATTTCTCCACACAACAGCTACTTCCATCATCGTAGAACCATTACCACAAACAACGGGCTCCATCTCCGCCATCGTGACGTCGTTTGTTGTCGGCATCACGTGCTTCGCTCGTCCCGGCGCGACGCCGCCACCGTCGTCGCTCCGGCCTTCGCGCCCGCTGACCGCCATCCCCAAGTACTCCCAGAGGCTTTATTACCGCACCTCCCCAGTGTCGCGCTAAGCTGCTTTGAAGCGCGCGGCGAGCGCCGGCTCTTGGCGCCGCGGTGGAGCGCGGAAGAAACTCCCGCGCCACGTGGTTTCCCTCCCCCACCCCCAGCGCCTCCCTCGAACCCAAAAGCTCAAAGCCGGGTCGTCCCTCCACCGCAAAACAGTTGTTCTTTCGCCAATTAGCTCTTTGTTTTGAATGCCATGAACGGGATCTACCCTCGCGTATTTGCGGATCTGAGTTAGGAAGGTTCTCTTCTCATTTTATTGTGGTTAAAAATTGTATCTTCTTTTAGTGTTTCTTTACATTTTCTATTTTCTGTCGACTTTGTCCACGATCTTAAAGTCTTTAATTGATAAGTGATCTTCATGAAATTCAAATTGACGGGGCTATTTGCTCCACCTGTTTGTGACATGGTATATTTGCAAAAATGTTTTTAGTATAAGTAAAGCACGTTATATTAAAAAATCGAGATGTGACCTGAGGAAAGTGAAACTACCTAAAGTGTTTGATCTGATTTACATCGTCATTCCCTACAAGAAGACAATTTATTACTAGTGTATTTCGTGAGCTCCAGTTATAAAGAGTTTAAGTAATGTGATATTGTCGATGCTACAAAAAGTACACAATTTGTTTGTTTCTCTGTACTTTTACTTATCGTCGTTTTGATATGTATTTGTTGTAATGTCTGTGTTTAAGCCAGAAAATGGTGGGTTGCCTTCTTGACCTAGGAGATAAATGCAATTAATTTGTTGTCGTGTCGTCGGTTCATTAAAACAATTATAAAAAGACCTACCACGAAAACACTTCAATGTAATTATGTTTTATATGCATCAATAGATATCGATATGCTCGATCTATTCCTTTTTCACATGGTTAATAAACTTTGCATTTTGTGCGTTGTCGCCATAGTTATAGTTTTATACATGGATACAGTTTCGTAGATAATTAGTTAAGTTCAATTAACAGTTGAAATACCTTATGTATCTGAAGAAAAATAATTTTTCAGATCAGTATCTTGTTGAAGTCATTTGCTTTTCAGTATTTTGTAGAACACTGCTTGCCTACGGCAAAATTATAGCTGCCGAGATGTCGGTTAGTTTGGGAATAACTGGCAACTTCACGAAACGGCCAAATAGTTGCCCGGCCGTCTGCTGGACGACAATGTCGTGCTGCCCCGGTGACTTTCTTTCCGTTTTCCTTGTGGGGTGTCACCTTTCATCAGCCAGCTTTGTGAGGTCCCTTCCAAGCGTGCATATCATAATACTTACAAACGAGAAACGGCCTTGGCCCCCGCGACCGGCGCGGTGCGGCGGCCCGGCGCCGCGGCCATCCGCTAGACTGCGGCGGCGCCATTTGCATTGTATGACACCCCCTCCCGCCCTCCCGCACACACGATACCTTTCCCGACGCTCATTAACAGTGGGTGTTGTTGCGTTGCAGGTTGCGCCTTCGTGAAATTCAGTTCGCACCAAGAAGCCCAGGCAGCGATCAACAGCCTCCACGGAAGCCAGACTATGCCGGTAAGTCGCCACCTCCCGCTGGAGCTGTCTGGCGCAGTGTTCTAGATGCTTGTTTCGTAGGCATTTCGAATGTGAGCTTTTCTATTGCTGACTCTCTCGACCAGTAGGGAGTGACTTGCGACAGTGTGAACGTCGCCATTGTTTGTTGTCTTTGAACCGGTCGTTCTATTAGATGACTCTCTATAATTAAACTCACGTATATACGGTGAATTAATGACTGACTTTGCATTTAAACATATTGATATTTTACACTTGGCCTTTTATTCTCAGATACCAAAAAGATCGTAATAGTGTTCATGACTAAATAATGAAAATAAATTTGACATGCAATAAACTAAATCAAATCAAATATTTTTATAAACCAATTCATATTTACTTAAATTAAAATAAAATACAATTAGTATTAAATTAATCGATTTAATTAAACCGTCTTCTCAGTTTATAATGAGTTTATTAAGATTCACTTATGTGTAGGATCGTAAATTCAAATCATGCTACCCTTTTCTAGATCTTTCTTCATTCTGTCCATAAAGCATAATATAACTTCTACAAAGTAGAATAATAAAACAAGTTAAAGAACAAGTTTTGAATACACATATAGAGCTATTCATTTTTATGAACTTACTGGAATGTAATTGTTTCAGGCAAGTAAAAATTTGATTTTCAAAATTAATGTAGTTTTAACGACCACAATAGAGAAATATAATATTTTTTTCAAAGCTAGCAATTCACTTTAAACTCTGTTTTATTATACATGTAATACAAAATAATACAGAGTGACAAAATAGTAACAAAACATAGTTGACGTCTAAACAATTGTATTTGAAATTTGTTATTTATGTATTTAGAGCTGCATGAGAAATCAATTCCTTCAAAAATACCCCTAATTATCCTATAAAGTATAATTAATATTATAAATACGAATAGTTACATTATTGTAAAGAACAAAATACAACTAATTTAGTGCTTTAAACAAATAGATAATACCATATTGATTATTAGTAGTAGCTCATAATTAAGTATTACTAATAATATTCAAATAATAACAGTTTTAAAAGTGGAAATTTTAGGTGTACTAATCAAAACTAACTTTTTGGTCAAGATGTTAATGTGTTCGATTTTTTCTCAAAAACATTATACAAAATATATTGAAATATTAATCACTAAAGACTTTAGTTTGAATGTATGACATTTCGGTTTATCACTGCATCAATTGTATTGGCCTGTAACAATGAAAAATGTGTTGTCATTCACAAAATATGAAACAATTCAAAATATAGGGTCAGTCAGTGTTAGCAGAACAGGGTTTACACTAACAGAACCCAGCAAACGTTATTTCCTTCTCTTTCTCTTTCTCTCTCTCTCTCTCTCTCTCTCTCTATCCCTCTCTATCTCGTTCTCTCTCCCTCTCTCTCTCCCCCTCTCTCTCCCTCTCTCTCTCCCTCTCTCTCCCTCTCTCTCTATCTCGCTCTCCCTCTCTCCCCCTCTCTCTCTCACGCGCACACACACACGGCAACTCCCAGCAACAATGAGGCCGAGGTCGATTGGGAATTGCATTTAAGGGGAGACGGTACCATGTTTACCGCCCGTGTTAAACTTGCTGTTTTTTATGACCATTACTAGAAAATAATGATATTTCGCACACTTTACATCCATTATTATTATGGCATTCTTTCGAGTTTATTAAAAAATATATTAATATTTTCAATTATACCTTTTTTCCTAATTCTTTCAGCATTTTTGGACAAACATTATTTTTTCATTGAATGTTTATATAGAATGTCAATTTATTGACACTACTATAATGAATGTATCTCGTGACTTTTATTAAATTATAAACTATAGTTTCTGAAAAAATAGTGCATTAATTACAAAATAAGTACATTTTCGGCAAAGCCATTTGAAAAAAAGCCGTACTTGCCGCTGCGCTCTATTAGAACACTCTTGCACCATAATCTGAATCATCTTTTTCAGAGGAAAATGCCAATGTTACCAACGTACGACCAAGACTATGTTTCAATAACTCATTAGCAACCCAACGTGCGTTTAAAATTACGAAACAAAAACCATACTTGTAGGCAGAGCCAAAAAAGGGGGAGTGGCTCATGCGCACTAGGACATTTAAATAAAAATGAAGGGGACTTCCAGGCGTCCTGGAAGAAAAAATGCTAAAATATTTGACTAATGCTAATGTCTTTTGACCCATTTCATGGTACTCTCTCCCATTAACTGAAGTGGCGTTTTGTGCTGCAGCACCATCGAGCGGAGTTACAACAAAATCAACAGCATAAAAACCATCTTCTTGAAAAAAACACGTAGATGTGCCAACTTTCATGGAGAGTGGTGAAACGGTGTGTGACTTCGTTGATCTCCAACAAACCAACATAAATACGTTTCAAAATCCTCCTGATGCTTCTGTAGTCTCTCAACAGCACCGAATTTCTTTTCTTTCTTTTAAGAATGATATATACAAACATTTGCTGTTAGGATCTGTTCTACATTTTTCACTGTCCAACCATGCGTCACATCGGTTACGTCGTAGGAAGCCTCAGGAAACTGGCGCCTCTGGAGGTACCTTTGGGTCGGAAGCACAGGCGAGGGCGGCGTCAAGGATCTCCAATTTCTGCATCGCTCGTCCGCATTCCGGCACAGCGTTCGGGACGCAGCGCCACCTTGCCGCTGAGCTGCTCGCGCATCTCCGTCCGTTTCCTGCTCCCGCCCACGCTCGCGTCGCACCGCCTCTTCGCCCCGCCCCGCACGGCACCGCTCTACTCCGCCCCTGCCCTCCCTTCCGCGCTCCGCCGCGTCCCCCCACGCCCCGCTTATCCCCCCTCCCTCAGCTCCTCCCCCAGGCCCCGCTCCGCCACCGCGCGACGCCGCGGCGTGTGCGACGCGCGTCGAGGGAATTTCGTCGACGGCCTACGCACACGTGCCGAGGCAAGAAGAAGAAAGACGAAGGAAGGGTGTAGCGAAGGTGTCTGCACCAGAGGAAGGCGCCAAAGTTGCAGATGAAACCACCTAGTGGTGGCTACGCAAATAACGCGGTAGAAATTGAGATGACGGTACGGAAGGGATGATGATGTGAAGGACGGAATTAGAAAAAAAGGAAATTTATGGCAGTGAAAAATCTACGAATGGGACATTTTAACAAAAATATTGAGATTCCAAGTGAAGATGTGTAATTCTAAATAGCAGTAATTATTCAAAATAAAAATTATTGTATTGGAATTAGAAGAAAGATTTTTCAATTATAGAATGTATACCATAGTTTTCTCTCAAGAAGCTTCCTTTTGTTTGCAAGTTGATAGTTTCCTATATGTACCCCAGTGCTTCCTGTAAGTAAATTGCCGGACATTAACTTTACGCACGTGACAAATGATTTCCGCTTTGGGAAACGGTAAGTTTCAGTACTTCACATGAAAAATAGCTTTTTCTCAAAAATCATATCGTGTTTATCAAGTAGTCAGGAGAAGAATTGGGATGGAAATAAGAGTGTTGAAAAGGTAATGTGATGGTCCTTTAGCGACGAAAGTGAGCGCAGGTGTGCGAATGTCGTAAACGTATCCGGAAGGAACTTCTCCAAGGCCTGTGAGGATGAAAATTGGAGCGGAAACGGAGGTGGAAATGGAAATGAATATTACTTTAACAAAAGGGACGAAAGCGGCGGGGGGCGCGGATTAGGAACAGGATGATGTCAGGAATGGAGAAGGTAGTGAGCCGACACGTGGAGTGAAGGAGTCGCTGCGTGAGGCGGGGTCTTTGGAGGCCGCTGAAGCAACTGCAAATGTTTCGAGCTGTTCTCTCGGCGGCAATGAAGACGCGTTCGTGTCCACGGGGTGGGGGTAGTCGTTTTCAACGAGCCACGGCCGTCGCCTCTACCACCATGCTCACTAACGTCACCACCAGAACCACATCCTTTGCTTCCTCCCAGTACCTCACCCGTCACCTTCTCCACCGCTCTCGTCACCGTTGTCGTTCACTGCTCCGCCGCGAACTCCTCTGCCGGCATCGCCGTTGCCCCAAACAGTCACGCTCTCCGCCGTTGCCTCCTCCTTCACCTCAGCCTCCACTGCGCCGCGCCGCCCCGCCCCGCCCCTCGCCACACCGCCGTCGTTTCTCGCGTCGTCGCCGGGAGGGGCGCCACCTGCGTCCGGCGCCCCGCGGAGGCAGCACTTCCGGAAATGACGCTGTCGCCTCCGGCGCCGCCGCCGTCGCCCAGCCCCGCCCCGTCCTTGCCCTCGCCCCAGGCGCCGTCACCGCCCGGTGTGTTTTTGCGGCGAGCGGTTATTAGTGTGATGGATAGGGAAGCCGGGCCTCCGTCGCAGCGCGTCCTCCGCCTATCCAGGGGAAATTACTCGGCGCCGCGCGGAGACCGGTGCGGGCGGGGGCGGCACATCAAGAAAATCGCGGGAATTTATTCCGCGCGAAGAGGCGCCCCGCACATTAGGCCTCCGAAAGGAATAAATGGACGGTATTGTTTCTCCGAGATAGTCTCTTCGCGTGCGCTTCGAATCGGCCTGAGGAGGGGGGATGTTTTCTCCGGCGACGTACTATTTTCACAGTTGGTTTGAGACTTTTGTGCCTATCTTCGGGCGTGGAAGAATTGAGATAGACGTAATGGGCAGTTTTCGAGTGAATCGATCAATTTACTTTCCGCGTGCGGCTCATTGCCTGGTAACAATAATGCAAAACATAATTGCCATGTTATTCTTAAAATCATGAACTGCACTGTCAGAAATGTCATTAAATCTAATGTAGATAAATGTATTGTACTTGATGTACTTAACGTAACTTTGTACATTAAAAAGGGCTTAATATATTTTTACATTAAATTTAAAGCATAAGCTAAAATCAGTGTATATTTAATGTAGAGGTTCTCCCTTTTCCCCTGCTTCTCATCATTCTTATCTTATATTCATAATCACAAGTCCATCAAGATCGTTTATTCACTCCTTCCAGATATGACTATAAAGCTTTGACTCTTCCATTCTAATGTACAT